CAGTTTAACGGGCCTCCTTAAGCTCCGTAACTGCATTGGAATTTTTGTCCTGCAAAAGCTGCGTTTTTTTTCGTTTAAAGCCTCTCCCATACGTCCACACGGATCGCTGGTGCCCGCCGATCGTTGGCATCATACACCGGCGGCTGTTGGCGTGCGGACAGAAAAGCTTCAGCCAAGAGACTTATGGTGTGGAACGCGCACCAAAATGCGCGGCCGTTGAATACAATAAGCGTTTAATCGTCCCCCTAAGCAGAATAAATTATCAGTCATAGTTTTCTTGCTGTTAGGAAAATAAATAACGCCGATATGCCTTTTTTTTGTCCTGTCTTAAAGGATTTAAGTTGGCGTTGGTCCATATTTCAGCGGAGTAAATTATTTATCATGCAATGCGTGATGGGTTAATGCTGTAATTGCTATGAACATAAAACGTTGCACGGTATTAAAATGTACGTTGAGGTTACGTTTATTAGTCAGTGGTGGCACGCACATTTTTGTAGTTCTATACAAACATTACTGGGAACAACAGATCATCATTTCCCCAGAGTTTGTAGTTTGCCAAGGTTTACACAACAGCATCGCGGCAATACGTTCTTCGTTTAACTAAAACTTTTTGTTTGTTAGTTATTCATGTTAAAGAAAAACATAATTAGCTCCACTTGCATCATTAGAAGCTCGTGCTGCCCCATTTTAATGTGCGTTGTTGGTAATGCGTTGGCCATTGACTGTCCTCGGCTTACACAGACTCAAAGTTAATTAAGCTAACACAACTGGAAAAGGAATCCCACTGCATGTAAGTAAATTGCATTACAGGGCACCTGCGATCCGTGACCCAGGTCAGCTTTCCAATCAGTTACCAGTTTGTTTTACCACTGGGCTGGGGAGTCTGGGTGGAGGGGGGCCAAAGTGGTGGGGTGGGGTTTGGGGGGGAGGGCGCAATGGACAGGGGGGTTAGGTGGGGGGTAGGTGGAGAGGTAGGTGGGGGGGTAGGTGGGGTGGTAGGTGGGGTGGTAGGTGGGGTGGTAGGTGGGGCGTAGGTGGGGGTAGGTGGTGTTTAGGTGGGGAGTAGGTTGGGGGTGGGTGGGGGTAGGTGGGGGTAGGTGGTGTTTAGGTGGGGAGTAGGTTGGGGATAGATGGGGGGTTGGTGGGGGGTAGGTTGGGGGTGGGTGGGGGTAGGTGGGGGTAGGTGGTGTTTAGGTGGTTGGTAGGTTGGGGGTGGGTGGGGGTAGGTGGGGGTAGGTGGTTTTTAGGTTGGGAGTAGGTTGGGGATAGATGGGGGGTAGGTGGGGGGTAGGTGGGGAAGGAGGAGCACTTTGCTACATTTCAACACCTCCCGCACGTGTGCTGCTGCCGGTGTAATGTTTCAAACAGCCCACAGAAACATGTACAAACGTCGCTCGGCCTTTGTGCCTTTTGAAACAACCACAGACAGGCTCTGAAGAACTCCACTGTGGTCCTCTTAGGTTCCCATAAAAAACACATTTTTAGCAAATGTGACTGTCAGCAGCAGCGATACAGCGATGGACAACCGTAGACTGGTTTTGTCCTTACTAGGACTCATCAGAACAGTTCAGTCACCAATGCTGACTGTGGTGTAATGGTTAGCGCGCCGGATTTGCAATCCAGAAGTCGCTGGTTCACTCCGATCTCCGCCGCGTGGCGCCCGAAACAGGGGGACGGTTTCCTCTCCGTCCACCCGGCACGCTCTGAAAGGATGCGACTGCGGTCCGTCAACGACCGGCAGGTCGTGTGTGAAAGGGTTTGAGTGTGCCTACTAAGCCCCCCAGCCTTTTCCAAGAGCACGGCTTCCACGTTGGCCAAATGCCCTCCAGAGGGATTCTCTCGAGCTCGCTCTCACGGAGGCCCTTCCGACCAGCGGTGGCACGAGCGAGGGATCGCAGAGCGCGCACCTCCTGCCCTTTCGCACGTGGGCACCCTGCCCATGTGGAGTCTCTGCTCTGTGCAGGGCGGCCGATGGCGTTACAGCCAGGCAGTCCCCGTTCATTGTAAGTTATCGATTGCTCGACCCGATTGTCGTTAATATTATTTTGGGTTCGATCGCTCGACTAATCGGATTACACGTAGAGTGACGGGGGACTAAGGGGTCCCCGTGGCCTGTTCCCGTGCGTGTGTGCCGGCGCAGTGTCGCCACCGGCGTCGTCGGCCGCGTCACGACGGGCATGGCGGCCGGGAGGGGGGTTTCCTGCCTTCGGGAGTCAGGACGTGGTGGGGGGAGGGAGGGGGCGAACGCCTTTCTTCACAAGAGGTTCGAGGAATCGACCACGAAGAAATACGTGGTCGATTGCACTTTTTAGTCATTAATCGACGAGTAAAAGCAGCTGGAGGGAGTGCCATCGCCCCTTGGCACGAGAAAGCGGTCCTTTCTCATGCCCATGTCCCAACTTTGCCACGCCACCCGTCCCCCGAGAAAAATCCACGCGACGACGGGGAGAACATGCAAACTCCAAATATACAGGCATTGTATATTTGGATGAAACCCACGACCTTCTGTATACCTGGCAAGGTAGTTAACATCTCGCCATCTTGGCACCCTTAAACTGGGTTCTCAAGGATACCGAGTTGATGGTCTCAATCTGGTCAATTACTCCACAACAAAACCATCAGCTTAAAAAAATACAATCTCGCTGTGAACATTAAGTGACAATCTCATAGTGGCGTGTGTGTGGGAAAATGTGCCCCCTGTTGTGTAAAGATTTTAAAAAAGTCACTTGAAGGGTTTTTCAGAAGAGAAATTCTTTGAAGATATTTTAACGCAGCCGTTCTCAGATGCGTGGGAGTCTGCGCTTGCTCCTCTGCAAGACTTCCACGAATAAAGTCGTGAAAAAATATGCATTTTTATAAATTCGTGATTTGGTATAACATCTTAAATCCTTTAGTCCAGGGGTAAGGGCATTCTATTAAAAAAAAAACCATAAAGCTGGGGAAAAAAACTCACAGACACGCCGTCTGCCTCTGCTGCACACAGATAGGCCACTTGGAATGTTTTATTCCGTAGCAAAATTAAGAGTTCTGTTTCCTTAACCTTCCAAATCACATTTGGCAATGAATGTATGACGACAAAAAACGCAATCCAAAAAGTCTATTCAAAACAAAGTGCGATGTTACTAAGTGTCTGTGGTCCTCTGCTCCTGGCCCAACTTGTACAGCACGCACATCCATCATACAGAGAGGCAGTATCTGCACGTAATCCTCCGACACTTGATAAATTCTCGCCACTTGGTCGACCCATGTGGAATTAGCTGGAAGGGAATACAATTAAAAGAGTCCCCGCAGAGTCATGTAAGTGAGATTGTCTCAGGCTGCGCATGAGCTGAGAAACCTCCAAACTCGAAAAATATTTTTTTTTGAATCCTCATGACCCCTTTGGTGCAGCAGCTGCTTTTTGCTCGGTTGATACTGAGTGGTCTGTATTTTTTGGGGGTGGGGAACGAGAGGTCGGGGGTGGGAGGGGTGGATTCGTGATTTCTTTTGCCAAAAATTCCTGGCAAGAGAGTATTTTGCTACGTTCAGTTTTGACTGAGTTGAGCAGATTTAGAAGGTTCGAATTAAAGAGTTAAATCTGTCGAGAGACAGACAGACGCCCTGGTCTGAGCCATAATTCTTTTGTAAATCGAGTACGTGCGTACGAAGAATCGTGCGCAGCGCAGCGCGTTGCGATCGGGTTACACATCTGGTTTTCGCTCCGTGAAATTTCCAGGGCTAGGACTCGGATTCCGTCAAGCCATGGGTTGAAGCGCTTATAATGAATCGTGAAATGTAGGGGCCGAGAGTAAATATCATTGTAGCTAATTGCGGCCTTTGCAGTAATTGCAGTGGTAATAATTTGGTCGTTTCTCCCAAATAACTTAACACTGTAATTACGTTTCGTGAATTGAATGTATGGAAATCGGGGTTTTAACTTTTTTCTTTCCCAAAAAGCTTTTAATTTGAAATGCAATTTGGAAGGTGTCACTGCGAGTTGTATTGAAATAATTAACTTATAAATGTCACGGAATCCGAGCCGGCAGAAAATGAGGGGGCATTGTCCTCAGGTTGACTTTTGACGGTTCCGCACAATCGCCCCCACAACCGATTGAGATGTTTCTCCCGCGCAGTTAACCTGCCCACGCGCACGCGCCTGAATATTAAAAACTGAGGCGCGTGCGCCCGAGTTTGTCGCAAATCGGTATCGGCGCTCTGTTAATCGCCGCGCTTTCCTGGAAATGTGCGAAGAGAGGCCGCCGGATCGGGGTCACGCGGCGCCAGACGATGCCACGAGCACGCCTAAACAAGCGCGGGCCCCTTTTCCAGCGGCTCAAGCTTCATTAACTGTCTCCGAGTTGAATGGAGGTCGAGGCGGGGAGTGCGAGCGGGCGGGGGGAGGCGGAGCGCGAGGGAGGCCAACCGTTCGCCCCCTTTACACATGCAGATTCGCGTCGGGATCACGAGCGCGCGAGCGTGGCTTAAAGTGCACGCGCTTCGAGGCTCTCGCCCGTTTTTGGACGCCAGATTAATAGCACTCTACGTCTCCTGGGAAACGCACGAAAAAATTGGGCTTTAAAAGCCCATGCTTTCAGCTTGATTTTTGAGTTTCACTTCAAGGCTTTTTGGTGTCATCCATTGTGCCAATCTTACTGTTTTATGTCAATCCACCCCTGAACGCCCCCCCCCCAACCCCAATAGAAAAAAAATTACCGCAGAGTCGTTTGTGGTTGTTGTTCCTGTTGCTGCTGGCTTTGTGTGGCGTTTGTGCCGGTTGTCCATGTTTACGTGATGCCCTCTTGATGCTTTCCTTTTCTTTACATTTGTTTTGGATTTTGCATTGATTATGTATACATATAGGTTACTTATCTATCAGCATGGCGCAGCAGCTGTAGGCTACACCGATTTCATGATAGATTTGCGCAGTGCAGCGTTGTGAAATATTCCTAATTGACCATCAGAAAGATACCTGTTGCTACATCTTGTGAACTCATTGTTTTTTTGTTACTCTTTGGTTCTAGGATTACATTCTCTTCTGAAGACTCGGGTAAGACTCTCGTTTGGAAACATACACATTTGCCTTCGAACATGATGTTTCATAATCCGTTTCGTAAAACCGCGTGTTTTTTGTCCTCAATGTAATTTCTTTCCACCCTTCGCACACCTCTCCCCCCGCCACCACGGTGCAGGTATCATGTCCGCCGCGAGGATAGGAGACTATGAAAAGGTACACCGTCACCTTTTTGTTCGACTGACACGACGCACGTAGCTTGTACGCACGAAGCACTGGAGGCAAGGGTTAGTGGATCGCACAGATGTTGTGAGGCTCCCTTCCCCTGCATGCCTGGGTACCATACCCTGGCTCGCCAGGAGAACGCAATATTGCAAATGTGGCCTCTCTCTGTTCCATCTGTGTGGGGGAGAGCGTTTCCGCCGCTTGCACGCGTGGATTTTCTCCGGGTGCTCTGGTTTTCTCCCACATGTAAATACTCATTAATTGGCCGAACACATCTTCATACGTAGAGGACTGCAGAGCCTGAGTAATTGTTGGCGTCGGTTCACCCCCTGGGTTGCCTATACCGCCTGTCTGTGGTTCCTCCTCGTGCCTCGTGAGTCGTTCTCTCATCGAGAGTGAGCGAACTATTATTAAGCCGGACCGTCAGGAGCTCCTGCGAGCTTGCGAGTCGTTTCCCCGCCGTGTCCTTGGTCCGTCGGTGCCAGCGTCTCCCTCCTGTCTGCATTACAGTTCCTTGATGCCTACAAGAGCGGCGAGGCCATGCTGACGACGGACTCGGCCGGCTGGACGGTGTTGCATCACGCGGCGAACCTCGGGCACAAGGATCTGGTCCGATTTATCCTGAGCAGTGGTAAAAGTTACATTAATAACGAGCAGCGGCAATCTCCGCGAACACACACTTCTGAGCCCTAACTCTTCAGAGTCGTAGTCTTCCTTCTAGCAGTTGTTGGAATGTTTTTATTCCACCTCGGTTTTTTATTTTTATTTTATTCTTCATTCTCTGGAGCGAGGTAGGAGAATAGATTATGTCGAAAGAGAAAGCGACAGGGCCTTTCGTTGAAGTCTGAATAATTCACAAGCGGCGCCTTCGCGTGCCCTGAACATTTTCCACGGCAAAGGCTGTTTTATCTCTCCCCTTGTGGTCTCGTGTGATCCGGACCATCTTTATCGTCCTCTCTCATTACCTTTCCTCTTCCTGTATCGCCTTTCCTCGTCGCTTGCCTTCGCAGCTGTAGATCTCGTTTGGGCCCTATGTTCGTTTCCGTTTCTCTGTGCCTCCGTGCCATTTCTGTTTCAATCATTTCTGCACATTTTCTTTCCTCCCCCCCCCCCCCCCCCCCCACAAAAGAAAGAAGGGGCCCCTGGGCAGTTTTGTTCCTCTCCAATCACCCCCCCACCAACCCGCTTTGGTGGCCTAAATAAAAGCCAAATCAGGAGCCGCTAGATCAGGCTCTCGTGGGATACACGATCACAATGCCGCAGACGTGAATGGGTTGTGGGGGGGTTGTTGGGGGGGGGGGGGCGGTGAGGGAGGGGTTGGCACGAGAGGCACGTCTGCGGGAGGGGCTCTAACTGGCAGGTGGAATCGGAGAGATTAAAGGCAGCAGGTCAAAGAAAGAGTGTCGCAAGCGATCCGTCAGCATCCCGGCAAACTGTCCGGGACGTTTCGCTGCCTCGCGCTTCCTCCAGTGAGGCTCTTGTTAATTTAACTTGGGGGAGGGGGGGGATCCGTTCCCGTCGTCGCTCAAAATTGTTTTGGCAGACGAAGGTAATCCTGGAAATAAAGCGTTGTTTGTTTTTGTTCAGTTCTCTCTAGTTCGGCGCTTCATTCCACAGTGGCTTAACCGAGGTACCTCGCCGCCACCGCCTCGTCTTAATCTCTCTCTACTTTTTCTGTAAAAGTCCCGCCACAATTTTGGGAAATTATTTGAAGCTCATATAAGGATGAGGATTTGCTTTTTAATAAATGTTTAATCACGGCTCGGTATTGTGTTACCTCAAAAACGCGTCTCTATTCTATCCCGTTAGTTTGAAATATATATTTAAATTTTACCGCAATGAATATTATTGCCACTTAACAAAAAGTGCCTGTTTAAACAAACCTCTGGAAATCCTGTGAGAAGTGGAAAAGATTGTTGCGAATTAGGGTACGAACGAATGCCATGCATACGAATGTGTCTATTACCTCATTAACTCATTTAGATGGTCACATGACTCATTACTTCATTAAGATGTCACGTGACCAGGTATGCCTATTTAATGGCACACCCTATTGGGTGCCCAGCACAATGAATACCGCAGGGAATAGATGGCTGCCTGTGCCTATTCTTTGTGCTGCACAAGTGTATTTGTGCCTCACTGTCATTGTTGAAAAAAACCACGTTGGCCTTACAAGAATTGATGTGTGCTTCTGTGTCTCTACAAGTACAACAGTAGCCGCTGTTTGCTACGAAGCAATGGTGACGTCACCACGACACTTGTGCCAAGCTAGAGGCACTTACAGGCCACGTAAAGTTTGGAAGGCTCGCTGGCAGGAGGTCACAGGACAGACCGAGGTGTTATGGGTTGACTGACTGAGATGAACGGCTAAAACGTGCTACTTTTAGCCATTTCCTGCACCTCCTATTAACACGGTTGGCTACGTACGGTGCGAAAAAAGTTCAACACATGTATGTACATAGCCACCCGGCGACGAGCGAGCGTCGATCCATGATCGGAACACAACAAACCTTTTTATCTGTTTCTAGGCCCGTCAGAGCTGTTGGACATGGCTGACATGGAAACGTAAGTCAATCGACCGCATTGCGCAGAACAAGACACGAATGGGTGCAATTATCATACCACCCCCCCCCCCCCCCCCCGGTGTAATATTTAAATTCACGGCCTTTAAGCTGATACACGGTTTCCCCATCCTTGTCCATCAAAATCATCAGCGCAGTAATTGAACGGCGGTTATTGTATTTTGTTAGATAACGGTAATTGGTCTTCCGTTCATTACCGTCAGCAGATTGATGTCGCGACGACGGCGTCGGGCTTTGTGGTCTGTCGCCCCGTTCATTTTGAAGCCACAGCGTGAACGTGGCTTCGCTGTCGAGGCCAGGGATGAGAAACCTTTCCCCTGCGGGGAGGGCTGCAGTGGACTTGCAAGTCGTGTCCATACGAGAGGGCCCTTACGGCGACAGAAGCGACTGTGAACGTGCTAAAATTAGAAATGGCTTTTGTATGCCAGATCGAAAATATTGCCCTCTAGTACCCGATTAGCGTGGCTGAGATGCTTTAAGTGATAAATAAATAGAGTTTTCTGAGTGGTAGCCCTCACGTGACCCCGGGGGCAGTGTGTAATGCAGTTGCGGGCCACAATCACTCCCGTGAGCCGTATAGTCACCAACTCCTGGACTAGGCCATGTGCTAAGTATCATCCATGTGTGGGTGTGTGTACACCTATCCATCCCACCACCGTCTTACCACTTTTTACAAACACTCTGTATCCATGTTTCTCTCTCTCTCTGTACAGAATCAGAATCTTTATTAATCCTGGAGAAATCCAATGAGCTATGAAGCTCTTTCTCACGTATGTCGAGTAGGGGCACCAGGTCAGCAAGTTGCAGTAACACTCATCCCCTGCCCCTCACTCCCCCACCGCACCCCCCTTTTCCCCATTCTCCCCTTCTCCCGGCAGTGGTGAAACGGCTCTGCACAAGGCGGCTAACCTCCACCACCGGACAATCTGCTACTACCTGGTGGAAAAGGGTGCCTCGCTCATGAAGACAGACTTACAGGTGCGGCTTTCACCATCAGCGGTCATTTACTGAGCGTGGAACGATTTGGTTACCCCCCATCTCCCCCCCTGCTCTCGCCGCTTGGTGAATGGTCGTGGTTTGGCATTGTGAGTCAGCGTTTGTAGAATCGATTGTTCTTCGTTGCGGTGAATGCAGTGCAACAAGTGGCTGGAGCGATCACGTGAACCAATTGCGTATATAATTCAGATGTATGTGTACAGTCTTTTATCAATGCACCTCCGATTAGCGCAGTTGGCTACGTGTGGTGCGAAAGAAGTTCAACATACATACGTATGTACAATGCACTGTTGGATAAAGGCCTCCTTAATGTAGACCGTTTGACCATACTTCACCATGCTGGTCAGTGCGGCATGGTGAAGTCGGGCAGTTGGACAAGGACTGATTCAGACATCGCTCGCAACTGATGTTAGCCGTGGCCAATGAATGTAACTCGGATCGCCAGGTTTATCGCACAGTGCGCTAACCACCTCCTTTTGAAGCCTTATTCTAAACTAATATGTCACTGATGCCACTTATAGTTTTATAACGTGCATATGATTAAAAACAGAAAAGTGTAAATATTTCCGCTGGCTTCATTTCCTGAGGAGGACCAGCTGGCCGAAAGAGATGGGTTTTGTTTTTACAGACATATCCATTTTATTTGCTCGTTATGAACTTATGCACAATCTGCTGAACCGGCAAAAACCTTCAGGTCCGGCATGTGAGGCAGAGTTTTTTTTCCTGCCGAGCCAAAGCGGCGGCCGCGGACGTGAGGCGACGACGCGCATCGCTCCCGACAGGTTTAAAAGCATCGCTAACTCACGAGCCAGGCCAGGCGACGGTTCCGCCGTGAATTGACGCGGGCGATTCCGGGCCGAGCGTCGTCCGCCACCATCGGGATGACGCCGCAACCCAAGTGCGCCCGCTACCTCCGTTCAGTGGCAAAAAAACCACCGGCGCCGGCCACTTGCAGGCCCGCGACGAATCCGGCACTCGTTTTATTTTTTTGCCGTCGACCAAAAATCTCTCCCCGGGGGAGCCCCATCGGGTCGTATATCTCTGAAGCTGAGCACCGTCGAGCGCCGTCGAGCCTGGTCAGTACTTGTGTGACACGGGAGACTGCTTGAGTATGCAAGCTGTCGTAGAGGCCCCGGCTAAGAAGCGGACGGACAATGGCAGTGCAGCGACACGATTTCCTGAATCTGTCTTTGCGCAGCTTTGAGTGTTAGCTCCTCGTGTGCGTTGGGTGTTTTTTTCTGCAGGCCCTAAAATGTTCTCCCACATGAACCCAAGTGCTTGTTAAAGGAAAGAGCCAGACAGCCAGATGCAGGACCCTCTTGAGAAATTATTCTTGTGATTCATTGAGACGATCTTACTGCAAATAATGGGCATTGTGAATGCTATTTTAATTGGTGCTGGAGTATTTTAAACCTCTCTGATAGGATAATTACATCGCTGTAAGAAATACCTACACCTGTGCGCCCAGCTGCTATTCGAATTGATTACTGCAATTTATACCATTTATAAAATTACAGTACTCAAAATGCCGAATTAAATCATTACGCCCAAAAACCCAAGAGGATGTAAGTAACCTATTGCTCGCATTAAAGTCGTGGTCTTGAAGCTAATAGACTGTGAAATTAAAAAACATGACACAGGGAATACGAACCGGACCAATTGAAAACAAATGTGACCTGCCTGGAGAAAAGGCTGAAACAACTTCCTGTCTGAAAATTCTAGCTAATCCGGCGTGACAACAGAGCAATGGGGCTTTATGTCATTCTACAGCACCCAGTTGTGCGCTTTCCACACGTGTATGTATTGCATATCACGTGTTCACTGAACGCTCTGTAAAGGCGATTCACCATTCCTCTATGGGACAATGTTGAACGAACCATTGTGAGGTTTTTTTTGTTTGGCAAGAAAAACGAAAGTGCAAGAGAGAAGTTGAGATATAACATTTAACCGTAAGTTCCCACGAATGAATGTACCCTGGGGCGACGATCGAATGGACAGGTCTTGATCTCGTTGAATGCGCACGAGGGTGGAAAATGACATCGACAGATGTGGCTCTACATGGGGTAGAGGTGGGGGGGGGAGGGCATTGGACACAGTTCAGCGATCACACATCGTCGCTGTCCCCGTCGTCTGAAAGTTCAAGCAATCTCTCAAAAAGTCAAAGTGATTTGCTGCTCAAATGAGCATCGAGGAAAGTCCTCGTCTCTCGTTTGCAGCCCTGAGCCGCTCGTGGAGATTCCACATTTCTCGGACGGGTGGAGAGTCTTTCCGTAGGACAGCCGCTGTGGAATTCCCCACACAGTGGTAATCATTTTATTGACCCCCAAAGGGATGATAGGATGAGGCAACCCCCCCCCCCGCCTCCCTCCGCTCAACCAGGATTTGAACTCTCAACCTTCCGATAGCGGGCCGCTTGCTCTGCCGCTGAGCCATCCGGCCGGATTGAAGCAAATCGTGACTGGAACTTTGGTGGGTGTTTTATTTCGTTAATGTAAAACGAATTACATCGTTAGACATCCATCTGCAGCTGATGTTGAGATGTCGAAAATGGCTTGAGACGTTTCATATTTCCCCCAGTGAAATATGTATTTGCCTAACCTTGACACAATGATGTAATAGAATCAATATGTACCAATGGTTTGTTGAATAACCATGAGTAATTACGTAAAATATGTAGTTGTGAAAGTTTTTTTTACATGGCCAGTTGACCCGCGGGGAGATCAGAGGGCCGAGCTGGTACTGCCAAGAGCCTGAGTTCGAATCCAGGTCTCATCCACCCTTGATAAAACCGGGTTCTCAAGTGTCGCGAGTTGATGATCGCAGTGTTGTCACCAATGACTGCACACACACGCAACATCATGTCAATCTTTTTTTTATATTTTAACATTCATATGACCGAATTTCACCCCCATGTGAATAAAAAGTATTTATTGGCTGACATGTAATGGTCAATCTTTGCAGGGCATATTTATATAACGCCTGCCCCGAGTCTGTATCGAGTTATTTTGACAAGAGCTCAGAAGCATTTCTGCGACATCATCTACTGGAGTCGTTCTCTGACACACGGTGATGCACTGCTTAGCTGCAGAGTTCCAAATGTTTTTTTTACGTATTGTGGAATTATGCCGATAGCGCAATAAAAAATAAAATTGTCAGAAGAGCACATTATTTTTAAACTATAAAACGATATATTTGTTGTTCTCTTGCATAAACAAAGAATACAACTTTGGAGACTGGTGACAGTGTGCAGAAGCAGATGCTGAACGTCCCTGGATAAAGAAGGGCATTATTATGATTATCATCATCATCATCATCCGTATGTTTTCGTTAACACTGTAATAACTCAGAAGCAGTGGGCCCTCTTTCAGCAACGTAAAAACTGCGCCCTCCTCCTCCCCCACCGCCGTGTCGTAACGATGGTTTGTAATTCTCCGTGGCATTCTTTTTCTGCTTCGATACCGCCTGCTAGGGTAACACGCCGCAGCACAAGGCTCAAGAGGCCGGAGACCCGGAGCTGGCCGCCTACCTGGAGAACAGACAACACTACCAGATGATCGTGCGTGAGGACCAGGAGACGGCCGTATAGCCGGCGGCGGGTGCCGCTCTCGCGAGGACGGACGTTCTCCATGATTTTTTTGCCACGATTGGGCAGGAAAAGGAGGCTGACGTTTTATTCAGAAAACGAGTGTATGTTACAGAGCGACGACGCGAGCGTTGGGTATAGTGAGACGCATGGTAAAGGGGAGCTGATTAAAAAAAACAAATTTAAAGTTTACATGTTGCACTCTGCGGTAGAATGGAAAATCACTCTTCGACTCTCCCCCCCCCCTGGAATCATATTTTAAAAATGGTGATGCAAAGGCTCTGATGATGATGATGATAATAATGATGGATGATGTGACTAGTTTATTTTTTAAACGAAGATTTAATCAATTTCCTCTTTTTACAGCAGCTTTTATTGATGAAATGTTGTATTTTTATTGCAATGGCGACGGAAGTAAAAACAAAAATGACAAGAGCAGCGTAAAGAATGTCAGTTCTCTTAAATCTCTCAGCATTTGTCGACAAAGTTTTGTTACAATATTCAGTGGCTTTTTTAAATTGCTTCGATATTTATGTTTATCCTGGTGTAAAGTTACATTCGAGTAGGCTAATTATGGTGTCATTATTTATAAATAATAAAGAATAAAACGATGATTTTTTTTAGGTGATAATTTTTAGATCGATTTTACAGTCATTCTCTACCTTGTGAAGTTACAGGAAGTGCGTTCGCTATGGTTTCGCACATTGCCTTTCAGGTATAGTTGAAGGATATATAATGTATTTCTCTTTGCCATAGCTACTAGTGTACGCTTTGGTTTTAAGAACGTTTGGGACCAGATTTATCAAAGGTCCCCGTTGTATAGTGTGTTGCACCCATGTACATTTTTAAAGAGTGGATTCACTTTTTAAATCTTAGCTTCTCGTCAATGCACATCTTCACTCGTTTTCTTTTAGATGTCTCTACGATTAATCCACGTCAATTTTCGGTTTGAAATCGAACAGTAAGTTATTGTTTTACATCAGAGAAGGAGAGAGAGGAGGAGAAAAAAAACCAAACACACTTTGAGATAACTTTGAGATAACTCAAAGTGTAAGGTGAACGTCTCGTAGCCAGGAGCAAGGAAAGTCAAACATTGGGTTTTCTGGTGGTAAACTCTTCTGCCCGGAGGAATCCTGGAAGCGCGCGGCTGGATGCCCAGGGCAGAATAACACACGGGAGGGAGGGAGGGGAGGGGTGTTCCTTATTCATGACAAAAATAACATACTCATTGTGGAGCCCTCTTTTGTGTGAGGGCCAGGGAAAATGTCTCCACGTCTATGCCCGCCCGCCGACCCTCTAGATGGGGCCCCGGTGACAAAGGTGCCATGGAAGACACTGAATTTTGTCAAGTCCTCAGGTGCTTTTTTTCTGCCGGCTCTTTAAACGCACGCCGCACTGGGCCAAAGACCATTGATACACCTGGGACGCTTTTCTGGCAATCTTAGCAGCCAAATCGTCACCGGCCGTGCACTTACTAATTAACAACTATAGCAACTTGGTACAGCATGGCAGAGAGTGGCAATGCTTTGAGTTTATTTGAGGAGTGTGTTTAGTGAGTAGAAAAAAATATTCGTCGACAGAGCACACAACCTAGGATTATCATGTGACCTCTGTGTGAGATGTGATTGGAAGTTTCCCACTGGGGATCCGCAATCAGATTCATCCATAATTGGGCAACTTTTTTTGTTTTACAATGCGATGCAGCAAACCATTGCCAGTGATGATTTTGCTGTCAAATATTGCCCATAAATTGCCTTCGCGTATTATGATTGTTTAGGCTTTCTTCTGACGCTCAATCTGTGCTGTGGTTAAATTCGAATAATTTCCAAAAGGGCACGGAAGGAGGGTTCTGATGATCGTGATGTGTCCAAATGTGTGACCTTGAGTGCAGCGAGGTGTGGCTTGCGATGGGGATTAACATGTGGGAGTCATTTGCTTTGACTCGGCTTGGGAAATCCAAGCAGATGGACGGAGCCCAATTTTCGTGGACTAGCGTCCATCACAGCGGGTGCTCACTACCGGCATTTTAAACATTGCAGTGACAGATGTTTATTCTCCTTTGTTGTCGTCATTGCCTTAAGTTGATTGGTGCATATTTAACTGCATATAACTATACACGCTGTCATTGGTTTTTCTGGGACTTTTCACGCATATTTTGGGGTTTGTGTCCTTGGGCGAGTGGTGAGTTTGGCGTTGCACGGGCGTCCATGGCTAAATAGAATTCAAGTTTGTAAAAGTAATGCCAAAAGAAAAAAAAAGAGAGCTACATCTGGGAGGGAGGCATGCTCCACCATGCTCTCGTGCCAGTAGCACCGTCATTACCACTCTCCTCAAGGCTTTGTTCCCGTGATGTCGCCGTCTCGAGATCGCCGAAGCGAGTCGTCGAGCGAACGATGAGCGAGCGACTTCGCTCTTCGGCGAGCCCCGCGGCTTCCCTCACTCTTCCCCCCCTCAAATCGACTCTCGGTTCCGTCGGATTCTCAATTGATGTTTTTTTTTTTACGCGGCTAAACCTAACTGGCATCACGTAAACACAAAATGTTTTAATTTAGAGCGAGCAGTTTGCGTCGTAGGTGGGGCGGGCGAGCGAGCGTGGGACAAGAGCGGTTTCTATGAGGTATTTCGTTGGGTTGTAAAGAGCGACTGGGTTGTAAAGAGCGACTGGCTTGCGGCGAACAGAAGGATCGACACCAAATCCAACGCCAGCTCCGTTGAGTTTGCTTACGTTGCTTCGCCCGCGAGTTGGCGTCGTGTCAACACATTTGATTTCTCGTTTACATTTAGCCTTCGGTTGCACATCATTCCCGCTCCTTGTGTTCCGCATTAACACTCCCGGCTAAACGATTGTTGGACTGCATGCCCGATCATTGACGCAAACCACCTGTGGTGGCCTTTCTCTCCACCACCCTCCCCCTAGCGCAATGACTTTTTTTCTTTTAAACATCCATGTTAAGTGTTTTATTTTTATTTTATATGTGGTGCAATACGAAATGATTGCAGCTCTGTGGGCAGAGATTAAATGATATGGAGGAAAAAAAAAGTGGCTGTGTGTTTGCTGACTCGTTGGGAAGTCTGACTGGCATCTGCCCCGCCTCCCTCCCTCCCTTCTCTCCCCACTCAAAGCTCCAGTTGTGCATTGGAGTTTTGATTCGAAATCGCGCGCGTGTTTCTCTCACTCGGGGTTGCAGTGCTGACCGCACGTGGCTGTCGGCAACCGGGCCCCGGGAGAACTGACGATCGCCGACGTTGGGAGAGAAACGACTGCGATGTCGCTACGTCCCCCGATTAGCACGGTTGGCTGCGTGCGGGTGCGAAAGAAGTTTGGCGTACGTACATGGAACGTGCGTAACGAATAAGAGTTAGTAGCTTGCACGATCTGTCCCTTCTCCGGGGTAGGAGGAAGAAATATCTGCAACAAAAAAAAGTGTTTGCAAAAGAACTATTGATATTTCTAGTTTTTATTTCGTGTGTGAGGAGGAGGAGCAATATATTGAGAGCCACTTTTTTTCTAAAAGGTCGAAATGACCAAATGTTGAGGGGTGTTTTTGTATCCGCTTGTAAATGCCAGTGGAATATATTTAATGATGTTCCAGTTGACTATTGACAGAAATGTAAGATTTTTTCTGGGGATACTCCTAATATCCCATTTTATAAATGTGCGATTGGCATTTCTGGTGGTAAATATCACCAAGGCATGGGCCAGGGCCTCGATGTTGATTTTCTTCTTTCCAGCAATTTTTCTGTGAATATAAAACATTTTTTTATCGTAATTCACTACACATCCATAAACAAAAATCATCAAATGAAGGCTCGTTTTTTCAATTGCAATTGCACGTCTTTTCCACAGACTGTAGCTCATCACTCAATATTGTTAATTGTGTTGTGACATAACCAGTGAACTTAATAACAAATAGCTCTAAGGCTGCACAGATGACAACCAAAGCCGTCGGCTCAATGAATCGCTTTGACTTTGTCGAGTTTTAATCGTCAAGCAGCAACCCAGTAAGCATGGAACGTTAGTCCTACGTTGCCTCAACGCTGCCTCGACGCTGCCTCAACATTGATCCAACGGTTCCCCAACGACACGCAAACGTTAGCCCGACGTTGCACGTTTACTGGGAAGAATGCTAATGGATGTAATCTGTTGGAACCGCTTCAAGCACTGGGGCTAAGCCTTTTCACATCGCGTGTTAAGTGGTAGCATTTATTTTGACCTATTGGGAAAAGTGCCCCTACATTAATGGACTCTCCTCTGCCTATTTATAGGCAAAGCCGACTGCTGACCCCCTGCCATTCTGGATTTCGTGAGCGATCAGCTCAGCGGTGGCTGCTCCTTGCTTCTGGAGAGCTCACAATGCAGACGATTGTGTGGCTGATGCGCTGTTTAGATGTTGACAAAAATGGCAATCGGCAAAGATAGGTCAGTTTTGTTATCGTCGGCCATTGCTGGATTAAGGCCTCCCCACACTGCCACCATCCCTCACGGTCCCTTGTTTGCCACAATCTTATCTCGCTCCTGTACATCAGCTGATCTGTGCACTCCGTCTTCCTTGGTGGTCGTCCTCGTGGGTGATGTCTCTACTTTGGCTGCATTCTGTCGTCAGTCTCATGTATCGGCCATCATCCCATCTCGTAATAATAGATCCTGCCCTTTCCCACTGATTTTCCCGAGCAGTCATTGTGTCTCCAATGTGAGTTTCGTCCCTGATCCACATGCTTCTCTTTCTGTCTCTCAGGTCAACTCTACGCTTGCATCTCTGCCGTGTGGTTGCCACACTTTTCAGCATTTTGTTCCGTTCTTATTTAATAATCAGTCGTCATCGTGAGTAATATGCACTAATGGGGACGTGTCATTTAGGCACATTGATGTGTTTCTCTTCATTTTTCAAATTAATTTCTACAAATTCAATCCATCTTGGCCTTGTCCATCTCTTTATTTAATCATTATGCTTCTGATCCGCTTCTCGGTAATTTTATCTCGCTATTTATATTCTGCTATTGTTTTCCAGTTGTGTCTCCCCCAGATATTACTTTTGTCATTTATATTACCAAAATAATTATTGCTGGACATTGGAATTTTTTTCAAAGCACTTTTCATTACGTGGGCGCTGGTCAATCATCGACCGACTTGAACATTCTTACAAAATACTTGGTGGTGGTTATGCCACTGCTGCCGCTGCTTCTTCGTTGGCACTGGTTCCCGAGAACAATTAACATCAACACAATTTCAACACATTCGTCAGTGACAATGTGGCCTTAACAAGAATATATAATCTGCGACGTGATTAAGGTTACATCGAGTGACTTTGTGAAGTTGCCGTGATGCACTCTTTAGGGGTTGTTTCTGTCCATTACTGATGTTCGCAGCGTCGATGAGTTGAAGACGTCAGTTTAATTAAAAATAAGAGCTGTGGAAAAGAGAAATTGGCCTGCACGACTGAGAAAAAGAAAATTAATATCGCTATGCTTTCAGAAATTAATTATGCTCATCGCCAAATATATAATAGTCACAGCCCTTCATCAATCTACTGCTGGATGAAGACCTCCCCATGCCAAGTCAGCTATAGGGAGGTGGGGGGGGGGGTGTTTGACCATACTTCACCACACTGGTCGTGGGTTGGTGAAGGGTGGATTCGTCAGGAACCGATTCAGATATCGCTCGGCATTAATTTCATTGATGATATCCATGGTCGGGAATTAAACTCGGATCACCAGCTTTGAAGCAGTGCCCTAATCACTTCACCACCACTCCACCCTGATTAGTTCTCACGATAATATGAATTACGTGGCCGCCTCTTAATAGACTGCGTATGTAAGTGCGCCATTCGTTCTGATAGATGTCTCTGCCACTCATCTCACACCTCCGATTAGCATGACTGGCTACGCACGGTGCGAAAGAAGTTCAACACATACATCTCAAGGATCCGTCTCTTCTTGTATTCTTAACAGCAAAATTCTCACCGTTTTTTTCCATTTCCACCACGGATGGCTGTAGCTTCCCCCATTTGAGTCGCGCTGTCCTGTCTCGTGCGTTCGGTGGTCACCCGCCCAACCCCTGCCCCCCCTCCCGATACGTTCCATTCATTGGCTACCACATTCTGATAAGCTCCTCCCCCCCCCTCTCCTCCCCCTTAACTTGTATTTAAGAGCTTGCATCTTGAATCCCTGCCTCACTTGATGCAGCAAATCTGGCTGTGACGATCCCACCTGATGACGGAGACTTGTGTTGCCTCCGAAACGTCGTGATTTTATTATTTTATTTTTATTATTTTTTTATTTCATTTTTTACCTACGTGACTTTACCGAAAGAACTGGGAGTATAAGAGTATAAGTGTGTAAATCGTCAGTGCGTAGTGCCGTTAGCCCCTAGGGTTGTCCCCCCCCCCCCCCCCGCATGAAAGAAGTTGGACTCGTCGCGGTGCGGAAATCGTCAGTGCGTAGTGCCGCATGCCATGTTTAATGGGACGTCACTCAACTCGCAGAAAGTCCATAATAAATGGGGGGGGTGTTGGATCGCATAAATTTAAATGTGTCTTCTTGGTTCTTTCGGTAAAGTCACGTAGAAGGGAAGTAATAAAATAATACAAATTAAATAATTCTCACGACGTTTGCGTTGTGGCCGAAACGTCGTGAGAATTATTTTATTATGTTTTATTTTTATTATTTTATTACTTCCCTTCTACGTGACTTTACCGAAAGAACCAAGAAGATGAATCCCTGCAGTCACGAAAGCTTTACATCGAAATATAAATGTGTCGTTAACCCGCCACCACCCCCCCCCCGCCTTTATTATGGATAATATTGGTCGTGAAAGCCTGCAGCGTACTTGCAGTGCAGATGGAGAGCGAGTTGCCTTGGCAACTGCGTTGCTGATGCCTTCCCTCTCAGCCCCGACAGAGCCGCGGAAGAGGCTGTTAGCCATCGAGTCGATGTCTCTATCGGCGTTCAGGCCCGGACACGTGTAAATTAAACAAACTAATGGTTTAATCACTCTTGATAGATAAAGCACGGTGGGGAGGGTCCTTACAGCCAGTCCCCTCCTCTTCCCACTTAGAAGGCAGTCCAGCACTGGGCTCAGTCCACGTGGCAGTGTGGGTCATCCATTGGGTCTGGATTTAATATGTCTCTGTGTGTCTTTCGGTGTTTATCCCCCTTGTACGAGTGGTGGGTTTTCGTCAGGTACGCCAGTGTCCTCCCATCTGAAGCCAAACACTCGTTGATGACACTGGACATGAATCCCAATAGATGTAACTACACACAAACGTCTGCTGTGTTGCTTGTAGATATTTATTTTTAAAAAGTGCTCAGCGTTATCCAGACCGGTAGATCAGTAGAGTAGAGTCATCAATGTTCCCTGCTACCGTATGCCTCTGGGAGGCAGGACCCTCCTGAAAAAAAAAGTCTTGAAACTCGGTGACTTTATCATGGATAAATGCCACGAGTGCCATACAATTAGCAAAGCCTCACTGAACACTTCTTTGTTTAAATTAAATTGGTTACAGATCACAAGGTAGAACTCGAAAACCAGTCTCAGTTCTCCGTGCAGCGTTCTCTGGTAAATTATTGGGAATATCAAATATATTTTGCCTGAAGTCCATTGAGTGTTCCATCAATCATCACGGCTTCTCTGCTTCGCATTAATAAACGAAACTATTTTATTTTACCAGGTAAGGCCCACTGAGCTATTTGACTCTTTTTTCAGAAGTCACCTGCCCACAAATGATAGCTCAACGAAGTGGCTTATCATCACGTGGACATTTATAGCAGGCGAATACTCAAAACGCACGTTGATTCTACACGTGGAGGGGGAAACCGGAGGAATCGGAGAAAATCCACGAAGAGAAGACATGCAAACTCCAAATATACAGCAGCAGGCGTATGTGCCATTCACACCTGAGGTCAGATTCTGCGATGCGCAATGCGCTCACGTTTCATTATATCACGAGGGCACAGCGGTGCACGGGGTGGAGAGAGGGGAGGGGGGGTCGGGTGATGGTGGCAGAGGAGTGGAGAACGGTCCGCCAGCCTTTTTGAGAAACGCCACCTCCAA